CCATTGCACCACCAGGGAAGGCCTTCTGGAGTTTTAATGTTGCCTATAGAAATTTAAATTTCAGAAATTACGTTCTCAAGAGCTAACAATAATTTCCTATTCAGAGACTTGATATGAGTCTCCTATTTCAGATCATTTTTTTCCTGAAAATATTGCCACATGCAACAAGATAGCCTAGAATCTTTTCTAGTTATGCTACAAATGGTGACGTAACATATCCTTTCCTTTGTTCTCAGGAGCCAATGAAGTACTTTTGGTGGTTGGGGGCTTTGGAAGCCAGCAGTCTCCAATCGACGTGGTAGAGAAATATGACCCCAAAACTCAGGAGTGGAGCTTTTTGCCAGTAAGTTTTGTTCGAACCAGTCATGGGGAGAAGGCTGAAATGTTTCTAGTCCCTCATACTAGATTTTAACTAACGCAGCCCTAAAAGTGGAAGAGCCTACTAACAGCGTTCTGTGCTTACAGTTGTGTCATGCATGCACACAGTAACTAACTAGTAGTTATTGACTGTGCAGACTAGACTTCAGAACTTCCGGCGGTCCTCTGTCAAATTGAACTGCACTGGCAGCCGCTGATCAGTGCCTTCCCGAACTGTCTGCGTGACTTCCTGGTGCTCCAGGGAGCATGCACTATTAAATTGAAATTCAGTGTGAAATTGTGTTAAGTCAAACTCAGAATTTTATATCTTTTCCTTTGGCATCTCTTATTTCAGTGCTGAAAAGAGCAATCATAATTCTGAGAAAATACCGAAATCTTTTGTCCAATCCTCTTAACTTTTAGGGTCTTTGAATCCTGGTTCTTTGATTAGCAGTGTGGGAATATTCCCCACCCTCCACCCCCACTGGGTGGAAGGATGTGAGCCTCCTGCTTAGTCCAGTGCCTGTGGAATAGAAAGGAGTCAGCTACTGGATTATAGAATGACACTAAATCTTCTGGAAGCCTCAGAAGGAGGCAAATGTGCAGAAGACTTGGCACAGCAAGCAGGAGAGTGTTCATTCAGTAGATAGACCACAGGAGGCCACGTGAGCTTGGCAGACAAGTGAAGAAACAGAGGTGTGGAGATAGAAGTAGGAAGGAAGCAAAAGGTCAAAACCTAAGACTCACCTGACTGAAATGCATGTATCTCCTCCTTCCTCAATCCATAGAGCATCACTCGTAAGAGACGTTACGTGGCCTCAGTGTCCCTACATGACCGGATCTACGTCATTGGTGGCTATGATGGCCGTTCCCGCCTCAGTTCAGTGGAGTGTCTAGACTACACAGCTGATGAGGATGGGGTCTGGTATTCAGTAGCCCCTATGAATGTGCGGCGAGGCCTGGCTGGAGCGACCACCCTGGGAGGTAAGCTTGTTGAGGGTGCAGTTTCCGTTTTCCTGTGACCAGGTAAGATTCATGTCACTCCATTGTGTGGCAGGAGCATAAAAGATAGAGGACAGCAGTAAGGTCAAATACTCCTTTCTGCTTTCAAAAAAATCAGTGTTACCAAAGCAGTTCAATACTCACAGATATTCACTAGTTGACCATGAAGTTAGTATATCCAGTTCTGATGTGCTGAATGAGGAATTCGCACTAGTTGTTATTCCTTTAAACTTGAGCTAGTCTTTGGCTATTTTTGAATATTCCATTTTATTCCAGCCTTTTTGGCTGTCTTCTGTGCTGCTTTCCTTGGGAAACTTAATTGACTTATTCTACAAGAAACATTGTTTTTGCTCCCCAGCACTTGAAGGAGCTGTGGTGAGAAACCTCTCATTCTCTAACAGTCTGGATTTCTTCATTTTGTGCAGATATGATCTATGTCTCTGGAGGATTTGATGGAAGTAGGCGCCATACCAGTATGGAGCGCTATGACCCCAACATTGACCAGTGGAGCATGCTGGGAGACATGCAGACAGCGCGGGAAGGCGCTGGGCTGGTGGTGGCGAGTGGCGTGATCTATTGTCTAGGTATTCAGTCTGGGAGAAAGAGAATGGAAGATTTCGTGGGTGGGGACCCCCTTTTAACCAAAATCAACTTCACAGACTTCCTTTGGTGAAGACCCTGGTCTGCCCTAATATATTTTTCATTAACTGGGGTTATCTTTTTGTGGAAACAGAAAATAGTACTATCAGATTTGTTTGGGGTGTTGGCACTCTTGACAGAGGGATGAAATTAAATGAGTTGAAGCACACAGAGAAAGGCGGACTGGCCATGAGGATTTACCAGCCATTCTGGTATGGTCTCTATTTTGTCTTTCAGGAGGATATGATGGCTTGAATATCTTAAATTCAGTTGAGAAATATGATCCCCATACAGGACACTGGACTAACGTCACACCAATGACCACCAAGCGCTCAGGTAAGACCAGACATGACGTTTCTGAAGGAGGACACAGCAGTGCCGTCAGCGCTCACATCCGCCTCTGTGCAGCCTCAGGACAGGCTCTCAGCTAGTCAGAGTGGTGTTTCCTTCCTCACTGCAGACTGTTATGTAAGACTACAGGCTTAAGTCAGATTCATTCCTGCGCCATTCCATGATCATCTGCTGGCCTAGATTTTTCTGGGCCTGTCTATAGACAGGCCCTAACTATAGACTTAATGTCTGTCAAACTGTGGGCTTCAATCAGATTCCATTCTCCTTTTGCCTCGATTTTTTTCTAAATAGTGAGGATAAAAACCACTTAAATTTTCAACCAGAATATAAGTCTTGTTTTATTTGTTTTTTTTGTTTTTTTAGGTTTTTATTCCTTCCCTGCATCCTGTAATATCTAGTATATTTTTGAATAGGTGCTCTACATGTTAAATGAATGTTTGTTGAATAACATCTGTAGCATGCAAGCACAGAAGAGCAGCTGTGTCCCTTCACGGACTGCTGCTCAGTGGAGTACGCTGGGGTGTGAGAGCTGAGAGCAGAGGAAGCACTGGGTTACCCTGTGACTCCCTCTGGTAACAGCTGCGCCAGAACCGTGATCACAACTCCTTTCCTTCCTTCCTTCTTATGTTGCCTTCTTTTTTCTACTTCTGTTTTTCCTCCTAATAAAAAAGGCGGGGCTCTGAATTAATGGAAATGAAAACCATTTCAAATTAACTTTTCTCATTTCAAATCCTGACCACAGAGTTCACAGATGTGATAACCTGTGCTGGGCTCAATTTTTCTAGGCCTGTCTGGCCCCAGTCCACATTCCTCAGCTACCCTAGAATTCGTAGCCATCAGCAACCATGCTTTGTCCCTAGAATTCAGCTCCTAAGCCTAGTAGTATTCACTTGCTATATCCTTTTCCCCTAGGTGCGGGAGTAGCCCTGCTGAATGACCATATTTATGTGGTGGGGGGATTTGATGGTACAGCCCACCTTTCTTCCGTTGAAGCTTACAACATTCGCACCGATTCCTGGACAACTGTCACTAGTATGACCACCCCACGATGCTATGTAGGGGCCACAGTGCTCCGGGGAAGACTCTACGCAATTGCAGGGTGAGGATTTGGAACCAGGCCAGTGAGAGCTATCCAGGGCAGTGTGATCCAGTCTGTTTTGTTTTGTTTTGTTTTTAAAGATTTATTTGTGCATACAGAACTGGGGTATAGGCCAGAGGTATGGGGGGCTGAGAGGATTCACCAGTGACAAAGTAGGGAGCAGAACAGGCCAACTGATGAAGTACCCTGCTGAGGAGAGCACCAGGCGTGTCAGGAGAGGTCTGCCATGCCATGTGGGTCACCTCTGGGGCAGGGATTGAACTCATGCTGAAGTGGCCCTAGCTTCTTAGTGCTGTGCTTTAACCTGCTGCACCCCCAGGGAGGGCCCTCAGTCTGTATTTTTGATGGAGGTGGGGTTTGGTTGGTGGAGACATGTCCAGTGGCAGCTTTAATATAGGTCTTGTGTGGAAAGGAATGGACAGCTCACACTCTTCTTTTGCTTCTTCATCACTCAGATATGATGGGAATTCTCTGCTGAGTAGCATTGAGTGCTATGACCCGATCATCGACAGCTGGGAAGTAGTGACATCCATGGGGACCCAGCGCTGTGATGCTGGCGTGTGTGTTCTCCGGGAGAAGTGACCGTTACTGGAGCACCATCCAGAGCTAGTGACCAGTCCAAGGGGCAGTTTGCGAGAGAATCAAGGATCCTTTCCAGAATGTCTATTTCTCACTGTGCGCACAGGGAGATTACAGGCACCAGTGCAGTTATGATTGTACTTTTTTAACGCACATTCCCCCTCGCACTAGTCCCCGAGGAGGGTGGGTAGGACGCACAAGGGAAGAAAAATCACAACTGGCTGGTTGTCGGAGATGAGACCATCGCTCCTTCTCATCCAGGGAGCGCTTATTTGTCATTTCTAACTTACCATGTGCTTGGGAGAAGATATACCCACATAAATATGTTTGTTGAGCCTCACAATGCAGAGAATTAAGGTGAGTATGGCCTACTAAGTGGGCAGTATTCAGCCTAGATGATTAGAAAGATGCCAACTTGAGTGGGCTTGGTGAAACCCAAGCCTCCTGCTTTTCAGGATCAAATGTCTTTCTAAGGTAATAAGGGCAGCACAGTTCCACTCTAGAGGGAGACAAAGAAAGAGCCCTGGCTAACCCTTGGGGGCCAACGAAGAGCTCTCTCTGACACTTCTGGGGGGTAGGATTTCCATATCAGAACTGAAGTGGAGTAAGTGAAGTAAATTGACTTTGATGGAAGGCGAGTAAACCTACAATCCCACTGAGGTGTGGCCTGGAAGACTGAGAAGAATGTGTTGTTTGAAGCGCTTTTTATTTCCCCATGGTCTTTGTAAAGCAGAATGTGCATCTTGGCACCGGAGACTGCGAGAGAATAAGAGCGTGAACAAATCTTGAAGTGAATGGAGGGGGAATAAGTGTGGGAGTTCACGATGCCTGGGGACAAACTAGAAGTACCTGTGATTTTGCAGTCGTCTTACTCCCTACCGGGGTTCATCCTTCCATGCCAAGGTTAACCTTGAGTGAGTACAAGACTGTCTGTCTTTGTCGAATCAAATACTACTACACTCTTAGGCGATCACACTATTTATTTGGGGGTGGGGTACGGTAGCAGCAGCCTGAAGCTCAGCTACCAGATTATTGCCCAATTCTTTCAAGGGCACACTTCTGCTAAGGAGTGGTTTATACTGCTGTTTGGTACATTTAGTCTTTTTCCTACTCTAAGGTTCCCTTACCTGTCTTTAGAGTGGATTTTATATTCATCCTAGGACAGAATAATCAAGGATAACCAAAATTCTTTTGTCAGTTCCAGTAACTCCTATCACTGAGGTATTTTTGAGCTCCTCTGTGGTAGGGAGTGAACTTCTTACTTTTGAGTATTGGGAGTGTGGGAACGTGGTAATCCAGAGAAGGATGTTCTTTTCCTTTGCTCTGAAATTCCATTTTTCTTGAGTTGTATTGATCTAAAGAGTTCATTTCCTTTGTATTTTTTTAAGAAAATATTAAAAATCAACTGTGTCAAATGCCTATGAGTGTTCGTGGCTAACCAGCACTGACTTCAGCAGGTGTTTTGGGAAACCAGGCACGGAAATCAACTGTGCGTTTGCAAAGTAACTCTGCTATTTCTTAGGCTCAGGTAAGAGGCAGCTGCTTTGCCACTGCAAGGATGCTGGTCCGTAAAATTTTATCCAAACTTTCCTTGTCATTGGCCCTACACACCTGCACTTAGAGTTCACCTGAAAACTAGGGAATAAGATGCTATGTTGCGTTTTAAGAATTTCAGTTACCCCAGGCCTTTTGTGTGTGTGCTCTGATTTACGGTGTGTGATATAAATGACTATGCAGAAGGCCTGCAAAACTGCAGAAATTCCAGAGCAAAGGAGAGCGAGAGCTACACAAAGAAGCTATTTTGGATGGATGTGCTGCTGGTTAAACCACGGCTTTGAAACCTGTGGCGCATTCTGTCTCAGGAGAGATCCAGGAGAAGTTGAATGGGAGGGCAGAGGTAGAACAAAGAACTGATGGCTTCCAAACGATCTTCAGTGCTAACTTTTCTGTGTTTCAGCCTCAATTCCCAAATGTTCTTATGGGGCAGCGATAACAATATTCTGCAAAAAATATCAACACTTTCCTTTCATAGGCCCATGTACATATACAGAGGTATCGCATAGCAATTTTTTTTCTTTTTTTTTCCCCTCTCTGAATTGATTACCACCCACTTTTAATTATTTTAAGCCTCCAAAAGTGATTTATCTTATGTCACCTACATCACAGTACAGATATCCAATTAGTTTCTAGTTCAAATCAATTTTATCTCTCACTGTTCAAAGCCCATTCCTATACCTTTATTCCTTCTACTCCCAGTTAGTTTAGACCTCATCCCTTGCATAACTCGGAATAATGGTCTCCCAATGATCTTCTCCCTATTTTCCTATCTTGCAATCTAGCCCCTGCATTTTGCCATCAGTTGGTTTTCTAAACTCAGGCAAGATCATTCCTATACCTAACCTTCAACCTTCAACAAATACTAATACTGAGCAGTTATTTTTGGCCTAAAATCCCATAGATTCCCATTGCCTATACTATGAAGTTCTAATTACCTAATGAGACAACACAACAGTGATGATGTGGGCCCATTCTACATTCCTGATATTATCTTCCTGACTTCTGTCTGAAATATCTAGCTTTCCTGATAAAATCCTACTCACCTTTAAATACCTAAGCCAAACATCATCTGGGTAAATGACATGTAACTTGTAGAGAGAACCACTGTCTAATTCAGTCTTCTACTTAACTTTTTCCCATGAGTTGTCCTTATATATGGGTCATTGAATATGAGTCTTGCTGTTTAGATTAAGTTCTCAAATGCCAACACCTGTAGCATTCCCAAGGTTTAATATGGTCACTAATATAGTTACTTAATGTTGAATTAATGGACAAAAGACAAAGCACGGTGGGTACATTAATGAAGTGACTTAATTCTTCGTATTCTGCTTTCCCTACACGTTTCAGGGAATCCATGATGTTGCACTATAATAAACAGGAGTACTAAAGACTAATCAGATGGAATGAGAACTTTTAGTGTAATGACGGGGATCAGCAGTGTCAAAACTTTGCTTGAATGAAGCCTAGAAAGCAGCATTTATCTTCCTTATGTTCAGGGGAATACCGAATGGGACAACCGCTAAGGAAACTGGGATGATTCAATTAGTTTCTAAAGCACTCCAACACAATAGTTTGCCACACACTATGACTAGAACTGAGCCCCAAAATGAAAGCGTCCAGGTTTTGTTTTTTTTTCCAACGCTAAAAAAAAATAGGTACTGTTCCTCTAAGTAGTCTCCTATAGAACAATCCAATGTGGTTAAAACTTGCCGCTGGAGAGTCCAATGGAGGTTGTCCCCTTATTGCCCCGGGTAAATCCCATTCATGAGAAATTAAAATCTCATCCTAAAGAATTAAGGTCATCTTTAATGACTTATTTGTTCAAGTCTTACTCCATAAATTCAGTGCCCAGGTTAGTCTGGAGAGGATTTGTCACGTCCTAGGAAGTGACCCTGTCACAAAGCCAAGCTGACACCTGGTCACTCAGAGCCGGCCACGAATGAGGGCGCTTGCGCAGTAGAGCCCGGAGCCGGGGAAGCGGACGCCTGCGCAGAAAGGGAGTGGCCGTCCGCTCCCCGCCCTGCGAGCCGCGCCAGCGCAGTTGGGGAAAGACCGAGCGGCGCTGCGCCTGCGCGCTGGTGGCCGAGGCGGCGGTGGCGGCGGCGGCGATGGAACCTACCGAGCAGCTGAACGAGTTAGTGTCAGCCGAGGGCCGAAACCGGAAGGCGGTGCTGTGCCAGCGCTGCGGCTCGCGGGTGCTGCAGCCAGGGACCGCTCTCTTCTCCCGCCGGCAGGTAGGGACGCAGGCTGGCGGCGGTTTACACCTTGCACGCTCCCCCGGAGGCCGAGGTGGTGGGAGTCTGGGTCCCGCGCGGTCTCCGGAGACCTCGCCCCCCGCTGCGGCCAGAGCGTCGCGCCTCGAGGCTCCCGGCGAGGCCCCGCACCCGGGCCGCCCGCGGGGACCGGCCGCGTCCGGGATCGCCGCGCTGAGCCCCGCCCTGCCCCGGACCCCCGGGCGCGAGAGGCCGCTGCCCCGCGCGCCCAGGGAGGGAAACGCCGGAGCCCGCACGCTGCCCCGGGTGGGTGTCCGCGCCCTCCCCCCGCAGGTCGGCCTTTTGCTCCGCGCGACTGAGTTGCCGGAGGGCGCTAGGGCGAAGTTGCTTCTGGGCCCCCAGCCACCCGCACCCACCTCCTGCAATGTAGTTGCTCTCCCGATCGATCGACTGAACCCAGCTTCCCAAATGCATCGTATTTCAAGGGGGCTGCATGCCCAAAGTCCTGAAAATCAAGCAAGACTTCATTTTATTTTCTCCAGGTTAGGAATTTTTATACCCTTCATACCACCATCACCCCAAGTGAGAAAGTTGGGAGATTTTATTTTTACATGATGCGCCCACAGAAAGTGCAGAGTGTAATCGCATTCCAACCATGCGATCACTCAAAATTTTATTTCTAAAATTATGTCCTGCTCTCAGGGTAACTAGGTTTCAAGGCCAGAGGCACAAACGTTCAGGCATCAGCAGGGTGCTACTGGCATCTAGTGGGTAGAAGCCAGGGGTGCTGCCGAGCTTTCTCCAGGCACCCATAGTCACCCGCTTCCAACTCCCCGGCGGGAGATTGCCCACCACAGCAGCGCGTCACTGGTGCCAGGATTGAGAATCGTGGCCTCAAGGCTGCAGAGTACACTTGTCTGTAACCTCACTTGGCCTGATAAAATTATTTGGTGTTTCTTCATGCCCCTAGACAGACTGTGGCACCCTGTGATATATCTACTTCTCAATCTCCTACTCTTGGACTGTGCAGAGTTAGAGTCTAGTAAATATTTGGGCTTGAGTCAGTGAACAAGCTGCCCGGTGAAAAGACGGGTGTGCCCAGGTATTCTCTGGGCACCATTACTCCCCTATTTGCGAAGCTTGTGTTCCTGTTCTTTTGGTTTGGTTTCCCATGTGAAATGCTCATATGCTTGAACTGGTTACTTCTCAAAATCTTAAAATAAAACTTTGTGGGTCTCTCCCTGGTGGTGCAACGGGTTAAATCGCAGCACTAGGAAGCACTCAGAAGCCACTGAGCCCTGAGTTTGATCCCCGGCCAGGGAGCTGACTCACATGGTATGGCAGACCTCTCCTGTCTCCCCCGCTGCTCCCTCAGCAGTGTATTTCAGTTAGTCTGCCTGCTCTGCTCCCCACTCTGTCTCTGGTGAATCCTGTCACCACCCCTACACCTCTGGCCTGTACCCCAGTTCTGTATATATAAATAAATAAATCTTTTTTAAAAGTTGGTGAAACTATATAGAACTACACAAACACACACATGAGTAAAAGTAAGTGGGAAATCTTAACAAAATCAGTGGATTACATCAATGTCCGTTTACTGGATGTGATGTTATACTACAGTTTGTTTGTTTTTAAATTTATTTATGTATCCAGAGCTGGGCAACAGGCCAGAGGTACAGAGACGGCAAGAGGCTTCACCAAAGACAGAGTGGGGAGCAGAACAGGCAGGTTGATAGAAGTACACTGCTGAGGGGAGCAGCGGGCGGAGACAGGAGAGGTCTGCTGCGCCATGTGGGTCACCTTCTTGGCCTGTAATCGGACTCTTGCTACAGTGGCTGTGATAGCTTCTTGCTACAGTGCTGTGATTTAATCCGTGGAGGACCCGTATTCCAGTTTTGTAAGAGGTTACCATTGAGGGGAAGTGAAGAAAGGGTCCATGTTACTTCTTAGTGTAGAAATAATCGTTACACATCTGTATCTGTTGGGGTTTTTTTGTATGTAAAGCTACAATTATCTCAAATTTCCCATTAAAAAAATCAGGTCATGGCCCTCCCTGGTGGCGCATGAGTTCGATCCCCGCCTGCCCCGGAGGTGACCACATGGCATGGCAGACCTCTCCTGACCTGCCCACTGCTTCTGTCACCAGTTTACTTGTCAGTCAGCCTGTTCTGCTCCCCACTCTGTCTCTGGTGAATCCTCTCACCGTCCCTGTACCTCTGGCCTGTACCCCAGTTCTGTATCCATAAATAAATAAATCTTTAAAAAAAAAAATCAGGTCATTATGCTAAGTGAAATAAGCCAGTAACAAAAAGACAATCACTGTAGAATTCCACTGACACATCCCTAGTATAGTGAGACTCACAGAGGCAGAAGTGGAACGGGATTGCTGGCTCTGAGGAGGCGCAGCAGAAGGAGTTAGTGTGTAATGGGATGGAGTTTGCACTTGGGAGGCTGAGACACCTCTGGAGAGGAATGCATTGCTACACAGCACCAGGAATGCCACTGAACTGTACCCTGAAAAATTCTTTAGTTTTTAAAATTATTTAACGCTTTGTCTCACAATAAAAAAGTCAGAATCAAATGGAACATGCACTTCAGCTCTGTTAGGCAGTGTTGATCAAATTGTCTTTTGCAGCATAAGAAAACCACCCCAAAATGGAGACTTCAAACATTAACAGTTATTCTATTGATAAATGTGAGGTCTTTCCATGTGACAGCAGAGAAGAGTCCTTTCCAAAGCCATTTGATTCACCTGTCCCTGCGGACTGGGACGGTTCAAACCCTTGAGCACTGGACCAGGCCTGACGTCCACCTGATGTCCCTGTGTGGTGGCCTCAGAGACACTGAAAGCTTCCAGATTGATGTGCCAAGAGCAACCAACACAAGTGGCACAGCCTCTCCCGGCCTAGCTCATGGCTTCCCTGCGGCCGTCACAGTGCCCTGCCTAGGCCCAGGAAGTCAGGCCGCCGGCCCAGTGCTTGGTGCCAGGATTGTCAGAGAAAGTGTGGATGTCTTAAACCACCACAGGTACTTGCAAAAGAGGGAACATATCCCATAAAGGTTAACAGAAGTTTCCTCTGTCCTGTAACAGTTTTTGCTTTCATCTTGTAGCATCTTGCCAAGCTTTCTGTAATAGAAATATATTTCTATTTACAAAGTAAAAAGAAATATTTCATTGTCAAAGGGTGCCATTAACAGTTGTTGAAAGGCAAAGGCGGTCTGCTAGGACCTCGGCATCCCACTGGGCTGTGTTCCTAGCTCCTGGGGAGCTGTCTGGGATCAGGGCCACTGGCTGGGGGCCTGACAACAAAGTGAGCCCATTTGTTGAGGGATCTAACTGGCAACTCTGGCCCCTAAAATTAGAAAATTAGATACTGACTTCTCTCTCTCTCTTTCATTTTTTTTAACTTAAAGATTATTTTTATTTATTCAAACAGAACTGGGGTACAGGCCAGAGATGCGGTGGGTGAGAGGCTTCACCAGAGACAGAGTGGGGAGCAGAACAGGCTGACTGACAAGTACACTGCTGAGGGGAGCAGTGGGCGGGTCAGGAGAGATCTGCCACACCATGTGGGTCACCTCCGGGGCAGGAATCGAACACATGCTGAAGTCGCTTTAGGTTCATTGTGTTGTGTTTTAACCAGGGAGGGCCTGTTTATTTTTTTTTTTTTTTAATTTATTTATACATACAGAACTGGGGTACAGGCCATGTGGGTTACCTCCAGGCCGGGAATCAAACTCACCCTGAAGTGGCTGCGGCTGGCTTGCATTGCTGCATCCTAACCTGTTGCACCACCAGGGAAGACCAAAGCTGTTGTATTTTATTGGAATTGGAAGATACATTAAAAATGTGGCATGAAGTGGGTAATAAGTGTAAGGGGGTAGCCCTGATGGTGAAGAGCCGAGGGTTGACAGGCTTGGCAGGCACAGTGTATTTTGTGCAACTCAAGTATATAAACCAGCCATATGGAAAAAATTAAAGGGGATGTGTTTGTGTTTGTGTATCCAAATTCTAGAATTGGATCTTCCTTTTTTTTTTTTTTAAAGATTGATTTATTTATGCATACAAGAATGGGGATACAGGCCAGAGGTGCAGGGGGTCAGAGTGTTCACCTGAAACAGAGTGGGAAGCAGCGGGTGAGACAGGAGAGGTCTGCTGCGCCGTGTGGGTCAGCTCCCTGGCCGGGGATCAAACTCATGCTGCAGTGGCTGCAGACAGCTTCATACTGCTGAGATTTAACCCATTGCGCCATCAGGGAGGGCCCTAAAATGTTCTTTTTATAAGATAAATCCAGTGTATGCCTAGCAGTGATGGTTTGGATCAAAGCCACGTTCCTCATTCTTGTAAGTCCCTGCTCTGTCGGTTACTGTTTAAGCTCTGGGGGTTTGGTGACAAACAAGACACTAGAGTTCCTGGCCCTCGGGAGCTTGCATTTTAGTAGAAAGGAGGCATGGGAAGTATGTAATCCAGTAAATTAATGAGGCAGTTTTAAATTAATGAGGCAGTTTCAGAGAGTAAGTAATAAGTAAAAAAAGGGTGAGAGTGGCATGAGGAAACTCTGGGGGGTGATGATTACTCTTGTCTTAACGACGGTGCTGGTTGTGTGTACGTGTGCCCTAATGTGTCAGATTGCACACTTTAAATGTGTGCAGTTTATGTGCCACTCATAATGGCAGCTGTTTTCAAGTAAAATACAGTGGGTGGTAGGTGAGTGAAGACCCCCTAAGGAGCTGATTGTCCGTGTACATCTGAGTTGAGTGTCAAGTGAGAGCAGAGCAGACTTAGCTGCCTGAGGAACGCAACGAGCCCCGCGGCACTTTGAGCAGAGGGCCAGAGGGCCATGGCCGGCTTTACCTCACGTAGGGAGGGCCTGGTTACCAGAGGCCCGCCTTCACGGCCTCAGGAGTGAGGGTGGGGAACAGAGGCAGCACCCTTGTCTGTAAGAAACTCGTCTCCTCTCTCTTTTCATCCCACTAGGAAGCGGGGCAGAGTTCAAGTACAATGGGCGGGTGATGTGACTGGGCCGGTTCAGCCTCTGCATTCTTGATGTTCTCTTCCATTGCAGCTTTTCCTTCCCTCCATGAGAAAGAAGCCAGCCCTGGCTGACAGCAGCAATCCTGACGGCGACCTCCTCCAGGAACACTGGCTGGTTGACGACATGTTCATCTTTGAGAACGTGGGCTTCACCAAGGACGTGGGCAACGTCAAGTTCCTGGTCTGCGCAGACTGTGAAATCGGACCCATTGGCTGGCATTGCCTAGATGACAAGAACAGTTTCTATGTGGCCTTGGAACGGGTTTCCCATGAGTAACTGAGGGGAGGGGGACTCACTCCACCCCCCCACCCCAACTATAAAAGCTACTCCCCACAAGGACTGGCATTTGACCTGGTCTGACTGTTCCACTGCTGCCTTTTGTGTGCTGAGTAAGGGATGCCTGCGGGAGGGCCAGCCCGGCCGCCTGGCCACACGTGCATGCCTCCTGCTAGTCCCGTTCCACTGCAACATCTCATCTCCTTTCCCCCCCCGTCAGGACGCTGGGCTACTTCTACAGATCTGCTCTCACCCCTGGCCTTCTGCTGGGGCTCTCTGTATTACCCAGAGGCTCCCGTATCTTGCTCTGGAAAAGCAGTAGTCAGCCCTCAGGGCTCAAACTTCAGCAGCACATGGCAAAAGGTACATGTGCGCTGAGAGCGGAGACGCCATGCGCATCACCGAGGAAAGTTTGCAAGTCTGAGAGTGACTGTTGTGTGGCTCCCTTTGGTTCATTATTTTTAAAAGTAAAGCATTTACAAATTTTAGCCTTAAAACTACTAATCAGAAGCACATTACTTTGGACATACCTGTGTACCATGAAGGAAAGTCCCTGCTTTACATCAGTAGGGGCTGTTTGTTGTAAAGGTGAACTTGGTCTCCTTTCCCTTTAAGTCTTGATGTGGATTCTCTTGCTGTTAGGTCTTCACTGGCCACTCTAAGAAAAACCCAGCCCTGAATTCCCCAGGAAGACGTGGCGTCAGGGTGGAGGATGGGGATATGGGTGGATAGGCTTTGCCTATGTGAGTTTATAGGCGTGTCTGAGCTGGGCCAGTAAGTGCCCCTCAACAGTGTCATCTGCTGAACCTTCTGGACACAGTCCTCACAGACTTTCGCTTCAGGTGTTATCTCTAACAACCCAGAGTTCAAATTTTCCATCTAGATGCCTGAATTTCTATAACTGTGGGGATACTGTAACAATCAGATGTTAGCAAACTTGTTTAACCTCCAGTACGATCGTCAGTCCTGTCATTGTTCATCATCTGAAGCATCTCTGTAACTGGGTTTCAGGTATCCCCCGGCAGCCCTACCTCTAAGATTCGGGAAACCTAGAATTAAAATAAGGACTCAATAGCGACCTTACTATCTGTAGTCCATTCCTTTGCTTCTGTTGTCTGGTGGCTTCCTCCTTTTTTCTCCCCAAAACTTATTCTAAGGGTATCCCAAATAAAGAACAGGCCTTGGGTAACTAACCTCCTCCCCTAGAAAGGTGCTTATGACCCATTGGGAGCCTGAATGAGCCCTTGTTGAAAATGAGATGACTTTTCCAGACAGATCCTCAACTGTGAATGTGATTGTGCTACTTGCAGAAAAACAGCTGTGAGAATTATCTGCTCAGGTCAGAAGGAACAAAACCAAATAAATAGTTGTCTCTAGGGGCATGTGGCCCCTCACATCACAAGCCAAAACCTAGACAAAGCAGTGTTTTTTAAACTAGACTTTGACTTGTTCGTTTCTAAGCACAGAAACCGTACATATTCATTGTAGGTAAATGTGAACTGAATATCAAGTTTTTCAAAATCACTCTACCATCCACAGTCGGCCAATGGTAATTCGGATCCTTCTCAAAAAAAGTATGGTTTTAAAAAGACCACTGTGAATTCAGAGTGTACCCCTCTATAACTTGATTTTTCCAATTAGCAACACTCTTGACTTCCCATGTCCACTCTGACCCCATTGTTTGTGGAATGACGTCATAGCTCTGTGCGATCATACAAGTTAAGCCACTATTATTAGCTTGTCTCTAGTTTCTTACAAAGTGATTTAACCTTATAGTGATTTAACCTTATAGTTAAATCTGTACCCACATTCTTAATTATATCCTTGGCATACATTTTAGAAGTGGAATTGCAAGCTACACACGTTTTCAAGATTCGGTCTATCGCTACCCATTCCTCTAAAATAGCTGTACTGACGTAGCTGCCTGCAGCCGTGTAAAAGCGCTCTCTGTTCTCGGGTCCCGTACTAGCTCTGGGTCCTTGTTAAGAATATGTTGTCACCTTAATAGGGAAAAAACCTTATTGTCTTCATTTGCATTTATTTTATTTTAATGAAAATTTTGTATACTTATTGGTCATTTGTATTTCTTTTTTTGGTTGAGAATTGCCAAACATTCTTGCTCCTATAGCCAAAGATAACAGGCTGTTAAACTGTCTTTTCAGTTTGGTGTGAAAGAAAGAAAGGCATTTCAACAGTGGAGATTAGGGCCTCCCTGGTGGCGGAGGGGTTGTCGGGGCACTGTCAGTACTAAGGCCCGCGTTCAGTCCCTGGCCAAGATGCTGTTCCACACAGGGCCCAGCAGACCTCTCCTGTCTACCCACTGCTCCCTACTGTTTCTGGTGAATCTTCCTACCCCTGCACCTCTGGTCTACAACCCTGTTCTTTTACACACAGTGGGGGGGGGGGGGGGATGCGGGGAGGGACAAGCAGTGGAGAGCAGATTCTTGTATGTCCCTGAGAAGAATGTGTAATTTGAAAAAGAGGATACCTGCTGAAGCTTGCGCCTCAGGGTTTATCTTGAAGTTGTGAACTAATGAACCAATTAATTGTCTGCTATAAAGTGAGAATGTTGTGTCTTTGTGCCCCTCACACATAGCAGGCACTAGGTCAAGGCCTGCGAGTCTGGGAGCCGTGACTCGCCATGACATCCAGAGGGAACTGGGGCTTGCTTCTCTGACTGCAAACCGCCGTTCTTGCTGGGGACAGCAGGTGGTCTTTCCAAAGCCTAATAATTTCTACAGAATTCTTTTTAAACACAGGACTGCACATGGCAGTGGTGTACCCACGTCTTACGTAGTGCTAAAATGCCATGCGTGAGGCTACTCAAGCTCACTCTGACATGACTAATGAGAACTGCTCCTGGGAATGGTGGGAAGGTAATTTGGACTGAACTTTACACAGAGGGCAGCTAGAAAGATGGAATGAAATGTCTTTAAAATCTAAAGGAATCCTTTTGCAGCAATATGGATGGAGCTGGAAGGGATCGTGTTTAGTGAAATAAGCCAGAAAGAAAAAGAAAAATAGCGGATGGTTTCACTCATAGCAGGAACATAAAGGAACGGGGGGGAGATAATAATAATGAACAACTATATACCAGAGACATTTTATGGGGTGGAGTGGGGAATGGGATCAAAAATGGAGGGGAGGAGTGCACAGGACTATGGTGATGGCACATGGGTGAATTGGTGATGGGAAGCCCACGGGGATTACAGCTGAGATGGAAGAAAAAGGCAAAAAATGATGTAAAAATAATAATACAAATCCAAAGGCATCACAGACTCTCAAGAGTTGCAAGAATTACTATGCCACACCCCTGGGAGCGTGCCACACCCACACTCCTTGGGGACACTCGCTTGCAGGAGACTGTTCGGAAGGAGACTGGTCAGTGACAGGCTTCCTGGAGTGGGGGATGGGGCCTGTGACCAGGATGAAACCTGGTGATGGCTCTCACTTTGGATTGAGGTGCTCAGTCCTCTACAGCACAGAAATAAGGGCGAGCCAGAAGTGGGAAAGGGCCTCTCGGGATTGCAGCTCGACTTCCAATTATCTCAGTCCTTGAAGTTAAATTTAGGTGATCCCAAAATGGCAACTTTCCCAAATCTCTGGCATAAGCAAATAAAAACCCTCTCTGGAGGAATTTAAAATAAGTGAAATGCTGTATCATTTGAATAGAACTAATTTAAAATAGTTCATGAAGATGTTTTAAAGTGAAGTTAGGGATTAGAATGACTTTTATGATGCAGAAGTAATGGGTTAAAAATTAGTGGTGACCCTACCTGGTGGTACAGTGGTTAAAGCGCAGCGTTGCAAGCTAGCTGCAGTTGCTTTGGTGAGAATTCAATCCCCGTCACGGAGGTGACCCACATGGCACAGCAGGCCTCTCCTGACCCGCCCGCTGCTCCCCTCAGCAGTATACTTTGTCCACCTGCCTGTTCTGCTCCCCGCTCTGTCTCTGGTGAATCCTCTCACTGCCCTTGCACCTCTGACTTGTATCCCAGTTCTATATGAATAAAAAAATCTTTAAAAAAAAAAAAAAGATTGGAGTGGTACCACACTTCTCTCCAGTGCCTTCTGACAAGAAGAAAGGTGCAGGATGGTGCAGAAAATAGGTGAGTACGCCCTCATTGGGTTAATTCTTCAGATTTAAAGAAATAAGGATGCTTACTGGTGCCAACCTTTGTGACCAAGGTTTCCTTGTGACTGGAGAATTGAGTTCCTGGAACAGATGCATGAATGTCAGAATTTAGGGGTAATGTCACCAAATTCACTTCTAGTCAGGTGACGCTTCAACGCATTTTGACTATGGGCGTTTGAACATTCAAATATTTTCAGTTCCTTAAAGGGCTGTGTGAAAACTGTGTCTCCAATGGCCCTGTAGTTGAGATCAGACTTATCTGGGAGAGAAAAGGCAGAGGAAAAGTTAGGAAAGAAGTTTAAATAAGGGGCCTCCCTGGTGGTGCAAGGGGTTAAAGCACAGCACTATGAAGCTCTCCACAGCCACTATAGAGTTCGTCCTGGCCAGGGAGCTGACCCACATGGCACAGCAGACCTCTCCTGTCTTGCCCACTGCTCCCCTCAGCAGTGTATTTTAGTATATCTGCCTGTTCTCTTCCCCACTCTGTCTCTGGTGAATCTTCTCACACCACCAACGTACCTCTGGCCTGTATCCTAGTTGTTCATGTATGCATAAATTAATAAATCTTGAAATTAAATCTAAATTGGAAGCAGCCTAGATAATAGAAATAAAGCCAAATACCTTCTAAGATTACTAAGTTTACTTGGTGTCATATAAAGAAGCATTATCAAGAGAAGAGGGTTGTGGAATTTCCCCTGGTAACTCTATGGATGTCACTGTTTCAGATAATTTATAATTGCTGGGTTAGACTTGGTTCCACTCAGTAAATGGATGGAATGACGTTTTCACTGACTGACTCCACAAGCAGCTGAATGCCTAATGGGAGGCACAGAAGGGGTGTTGACAGTGACTTTTTGAGTCTATTACCAGGTAGCTTCATTTAGTCATCAATATGCCCGCCTACGGTAGGATGCAACATTCCAGTTGCTTTGCTTGTGGCACTGACACTCACTGTCTCTGCTTCCTAGACACAAGTGTTTCTGCAGCTCCTGCTAGCGCTCACCCACACACTCCTCGCCGAATCCCTTGGGCAGAAGCATCCATGTGAGAGCTGACAGCCTTGTAATACGGTGGGTGAAACCCAAAGAATAGCTTCAGTTGGAGTTAACTTTGGATTTAAATCACCTCAGCCACAGGGCTTCCTTCAAAATCCTCCAAGACACTTGGAATGACAGGGCAAGAGTCTGATGGAAAACCAGGTGCAGGAATCCAGGGGGCAGCTTTGGGCATAAGTATGTAACAGGGGGGGGTCCCCAGGAAGAGGGGAAGTTCCAGGTTCCCTGCCCCACCAAGAAGGAAGGTGGAGCTGAGCAGTGAAGAGATGAATCTGGAGAGGAGCCTGGAGAAGGAAGCAGGATGGAGACCAGGATACCTGAGGGAGCCAAATGGAGCAGAGACGTGAAGAAACTGCGCTCGCTTGTTCTTTGTTGAAACAGATGTGGGTGAGAGACCCGTGGGGAGGTGACTGTGGCAGTGTTTATATTGATTTTGATTTTGCTCTTTTCCTCCCAGACTTGTCTGGCCATTTCTGACCCTGTTCGATGAGTCCCGGCCAGAAGGGGCTTTAGGCTTGTGGCATCTTTCAGGCCTTGCTTTGGGCCAATCCCTTTGGGTGGACTTTTATCCATGAGGGGATGGGTAACTTCTGGTGTTTGATTAAGAAACTGTATTCTTTGTCTTTTCTGTATTGCACATTCATTGTATTAAAGATCCTTTCCATTAAAGCTCTTGTGTCTTGTCTTGATGCAGCAGATGGCAGAACCTATTTAGAGCAGGCAGGTTGGGGGGGTTGGAGGTGCCCCTCTCCCTGCCCTGTAACAAGGCCAGGTCACAGCCCCCGACTCCTGGGCAGTGTCAGCAGGACGTCCTAACCGCTCAGGCCTTCCAAGGCAGCGCTCAGTCTGCAGGCCTCACTGGGCACAGCCATCAGATGCCGGACTGAGACGGC